GATGGTGCCGACCACCATTAAGTATTTTAAACATAATTCCAGCCTTAATCTTTTTGCGTCGTAAACAAAGATTGTTTAGGTGCAAATTATTCAAAAGAGAACTGGCGCTTGCATCATAGTGCGACCCCGTAATGACTTTTACTGCTCTGTTCTGTAGTTTCTGTATTTTATTGTTGAGAGTTTCTGCAAAACCGTTCTAGACCGAGCAGCAGTCGTCAAAATGAGGTTGTAGCAAGGCTTGATACACCTGAACAGCAATTCTCGTACTTACAAATGGTCTAATGTTACGTTTTAATGCCCCAATGGCTGAAGCAATTTTCTTAGTTAATTTCCCAGTATGGGTTGACCAAGAAAGGTGTTTGTCGATATGTACTCCTAAGAATTTAACAGTATCGACTTTGTTGATTTCACTACCATCAAGCTTAATAGTTATACTACCTTGAGTAGCATTGATTCTCTGTCGAGATCCAATGGTCATAAACTCCATTTTTACAATATTTAAACTGGGCTTATTTGTAATAAGCCATCTTTAAGACGTTCTAATTCAGAGTTAATGACACTTTGGAGTTCTTCCAGAGAATCAGCTGCCAAGCTTGGGGCCTGTTTTCATGGAGGTAGGGTGACCTTAGCAGAAGGGTTACCCTAGCAAACGGGTTACCCTACTTCAATATGTTTTATAGGAAGCGTTTACATGCGCGCTAGGGTTACCCTAGGGGTACGATTACCCTATCAAACAGATAGGGTGACCCTAGCTTTAGGGCTATCTTTTTGTTTACATAAAGGCGGATTTCCAGTCCTCGCACGAAGCTCCTCGCAACTCGTTGCGAGTGCATGCATGAGTACTTTCATCCAATCACAATGCTAAACAGTTAATTTTAATTAGATGCAAGCACTCGCAGCGAGCTGCGAGGAGCTTCGTGCGAGGACTGGAAATCCGCCTTAAGCCATGTAAACGCGCCATGTAGAGTTACCCAACATTGAAATAACAGACCACAACATTGAAATGCAGCAAGCAAAGGCCCAACAAATAGCATTACACAACTTGCCGCTAAAACTTTGCGTTTCGGCACAGGGGATCCAACTAAGAGCTGTGTTATGA